TAATAGATTGTATTATAGTTAAGATTTAGAAGGTGCTTACTTTATGGCATGCATTTTTGTAACCATTTTTGATTGTGTTAACTCGCTTAATCCTCACATTAATACTGTGAGTTAAGTACAGTCATTTGCCCAATTTTACAGATGAAAACTGAACCACAGATAGTTTAATTAAATGCCCCATGGTGCTTGGCTAGTAAGCGGCAGAGCTGAGATTCCAATCCAGGGAGTCAAGCTGCAGAGCTCATACTCTGTTATCTTCACATTTAATACCCAGTTTTGTGTTTTATTTTTTTATTGAAATATATTTCACATACCGTAAAATTGACCCTTTAAAAGTGTACAGATGAATGTTTTTTAGAATAATCACAGAGTCATGCAGTCACCACCACAATGGTGTTCTAGAACACTTTCCTCTTGTGCACAACATTCCCTCCTCATTCCTGCTACCCTCCTCTACCCCTGCCCCCGGCCACCACTAATCTACCCTCTGTCTCTATAGATCTGCCTGTTCTGGATATTTGATGTAAATGAAGTCATACATGTGGTCTCTTGTGACTGCATTCTTCCCTTTGTAGGATGCTTTCAGGGCTCACCCACATGGTCATTGCAAGTATGGTGACTTCGTGACTTCATTCCATGTTGTTAATTACTCCTGATGGTGGTATTATTTTGCAAATAATATTCCATTATACAGATACTGCATCTTGTGTCTCTATCATTTGATAAGCTCTTAGATTGTTTCCAGTTTTTGCCATTATGAATGATGCTTTCATAAACATACATGTGTAAGTTTTTATGTGAACGTGTATTTTCATGGGTTTTGGGTATATATCCATTTGTGGCATTGCTGGATCATGTCACACATCTACGTTTAGCATTTGGACAAACTGCCATGTGTTTTCCCAAGTGTCTGCACCATTTTAGATTCACACAAGCAATCTACACATGAGGGTTCTAATTTCTCCACATCCTCAACTCTTAATTTTCTACATTTTGAATGTTAGCCCTTTGCAGGAGTTTGAAGAGATATCTCATTGTGGTTTAGGCTTCAATTCCCTCCTAACTAGTGATGCTGAGTGGCATTTCCTCTGCTTATTGAGCCTCTGCCTATATTCTTTGGAGAAATGCATTTTCAGATCTTTTGCCCATTTTTAAATTGGGTTATTTGTCTTTTTATTGTTGAGGTTTTGATAATAGATTCTGGACTTTTGGTGGTGCCTCCTCAATATGTGATTTGTAAATATTTCCTACCAAGCTGTGTCTTTTCACTTTCTCGATAATGTCCTTTAAAGCAGAAAAGGTTTTAATTTTGATGAAGTCCAGTTTTTTTTTCTTTTGTTGCTCATGCTTAGGATGTCATATCTAAAACCATGTGCAACTTAATATTCCTACATTCCCTTCCTCCTCCCCAAATTATATGTTTGTATCTTACAAGCCCACGGACACAGTTTTATAAGTATTGCTCTGTGCAGTAATCTTTTAAAACAGAAGAGGACAAGAGTTACAAACAAAAATATACTTACAGTGTCTTTCATAATACCTACATAGTTACTTTGACTTGTTCTCTCCATTTGTTTGGATTCAAGTGACTGTCTAATGTCCATCACTATCAGCCCAAAGGACTCATTTAGTATTTCTTGTAGGATAATTCAGCAAGCAAGAATTATCTTATTTTTGTTTTTCTTAAAATGCCTTAATTTCTTCATTTTTCAAGGAGAATTTAGCTAGATGTGGAAGTCTTGGTTGACCATCATTTTTTTTGACACTTTGTAGAAGTTATTCCACTGCTTTCTGATCTCCATGATTAGTGTTTATTTTCTTGAAGTTTTTTTTGTTTTTTTTGTTTTTGTTTTTTGTTTTTTTTTGAGAGAAGGAGAAGGAGAGAGAGGATGGTGGGGCAGAAGGAGTGAGAAAATCTTATGCAGGCTCTATGCCCAGCACAGAGCCTGATGCTGTGGAGTTATTCTTAGAAATATATTGTAAACCCTAAGGAGTGACTGTGGAAGCAGCTGAAACGGGAGCAGTGTTCCTGTTCTCGGGCTATTGAACACAATGGCCCAGTAGGAGCAGGATCCCGCAATCTCCAGGGGCAGAGCATAAGTTAGGAGCTATAAAAGAATGTAACCCTCAGCCCCCACTTTCTGCACCTGGTGATTGCTAGCCCAAACATCCCGCTCCTCCCTTATCCCATGACTGACTCTCTGCGTGCCTATGTGTAGGGGAGAATGCAAGCCTGCTTTACGGCTTCAAGACATTTGCCATCCCTTTGTACTCCTGCCCATGCTTTGAGGCATCTGTCCTTGCTTTTCTGGCACAAAACAAAAGAAAAGCTATGTGCAGGATTCAGCTGCCGCTGGTCTCCCTGCCTGCGTGGCCGCTCAGATCGGTGTCTGAGAAGTTTATTTCATTGTGTGACGACAGATGCGGGGCTCCATCTCATGACCCTGAGATCATGACCTGAGCCAAAATCATGAGTAGGATGCTTAACCCACTGAGCCACCCAGGAGCCCCTTATTGAGAATCTCTTGTACGTGAAAAATCAATTTTCTCTTGCCACTTTAAAGATTTTGTCTTGGTCTTTGTCAGTAGGTCTATGATGTGTTTTGGTGTGGATCTCTTTGAGTTTGTTCCACTTGTAGTTCATTTAGCTTCTTGGATGTGTAAATTAATATTTTTATTTAAATTTGGGAAGTTTTTAGCTTCATTCTTCAAGCATTTTTCTGCCCTTTAGCTTTGTCTTCTTCTGGGACTCCAGTATGAGTATGTTGGTGCACTTGGTCCTGTGCCACAAGTCTCTGGGGTTCCTTTCATTTTTCTTCATTCTACTTTCTTTCCATTCCTCAGATGCCATAATTTCTATTGACCTATATTCAAATTTATTAATTTTTTACTTTTACCAACTCCAATCTGTTGTTGAGCCCTTCTGGTGAATTTTTCATTTCAGTTATACTTCTCAACTCTAGAATTCCTATTTGGGTCCATACATAGTATCTATTGTTTTATCCAATTTCTTTATTTGGTGAGACATTTTTGTCATATTGTCCTTTAGTTTTTAGTTTTTCTTTATTTTCTTTATTTTTTTTCTTTTAGAAAGAGAGAGAGAGAGAGCACAAGCGCACAAGTGTGAGCAGGGGAGGGGCAGAGGGAAAGAGAGAATCCCAAGGAGGCTCAGTGAGGAGCCTGCCTCGGGGCTCCATCCCACGACCCCAAGATCATGACCTGAGCTCAAATCTAGAGTCAGGTGCTTAACTGACCGAGTCACCCAGGTTCCCCTTCCTTTAGTTTTTTAGACCTGGTTTGGTGTTTTTAAAATATTTATAATAACTGATTTAAAGACTTTATCTACAAAGTTTGAAATCTGTGCCTCTTAGGAAACATTTTCTTTTGACTGATTTTTTCCTCTGTGTCTGTTGCACATTTTCCTGTTTCTTTGGATAGATCATAAATCTTTGGTTAAAAGTCAATATATTAGATAATATATTGTAACACCTCTGTTATCAGATTCCTCCTCCCTCCCAGATACGTTGTTTCTGGTATGTTGGTGGGTTTTTTTGTTTGTTTGTTTAGGGACTTTCCTGGACTAATTCTGTAGAGTGGTCATTCCTTGCAGTGTGTGACCTCTGAATTCTCTGCTAACTTAATTAAAGTTCTTAGTTTTATTTTTAGTCCTGGGTTACTATGGTGTTGGTCACATCTGGGTCAGTATAATTTAATGGTGACCCAATGTTTCTTCAGAAGACTTCCTTAATGCTTTGCCTGTATGCTTTGCATTCTTTTACAAAGGTATGTGTGTGAGAAGGCACACCTTCAAACTTAGGGTTGTACACATAACAGTCTTAGCTTTCACTTTCTGATTGCACAAAGCCTCAAGGTCAGTCAGAGATGAGAGACTAGTGCTTTCTTTTTTCCCTACGCCTTTTCAAAAACATTTTTTATCCAATTCAATGAATATATAGTGTTTTGTTAGTTTCAGAGGTAAAATTTAGTGATTCAACAATTGTATGTAACACCCAGTGTCATTACATCAAATGCCGTCCTTAATGACCATCACCCACTTACCCCATCCCCCCACCCACCTCCCTTCCAGCAGCCCTCAGTTAAGAGTCTCTTATGGTTTGTCTCCCCTTCTGATTTTGTGTTATTTTATTTTTCCTTCCCTTCCCCAATGTTCTTCTTAAATTCCACATGTGAGTGAAATCATCTGAGATTTGTCTTTCTCTGACTGACTTAATGCACTTAACATAATAACCTCTATTTCCATCCATGTCGTTGTAAATGGCAAGATTTCATTTGTTTTGATGGCTGAGTAATATTCCATTGTATGTATATGCCACATCTTCTTTATCCATTCATCCGTCAATGGACATCTGGGCTCTTTCCATAGTTTGGGTTTGTGGACATTGCTACTATAAACATTGGGGTGCATCCCTGTGCCTTTTTTGAGTGAGGCATATCCTCGTGCATCCTTAGACTTAGAGTAATATTTCAGAGATTTTCAAAATTTCTTATGGTCCTTTGGTTCTCCAGTATTTCCTTTTAAATTGCTGGACAAGTTCTTGTTGATAGCACCTGACATCATAGACCTAGACAGCTGGTGATGTGACAGTAGTTTGCTCTTGTATTGGTAGTGCCCTAGAGTAGGCTCCCTTCTTCCCCATGAGTTCTCAATCAAATCAACTAGCCACCAAATTTAGAGAATAAAGGAGTTAGGAACTACAGAGTTAGAAAAAAAATATTGGTTGTGTTCTGGGGATGATGATGATGCTTTTAATGGAGCTCCAAAAATAGATCTCTCCATTGTCTTCAGTGCTCTCCACTTTTGGCTGCCGCACCACTAAGGTCCAAGTTAAACCATCCCAGACTCCTTTCTCCCCAGTCTTATGGAGGTTCAGTAGTTTCTCTTGGATAGACTATTTTCAATGTGTTCTGTGGTTTTGGGTAATTGCCAGAGTTTTGAAATAGTTGGTTTTCACTGTTCTGTGTGTATTTTGTTGTTTTAGAAGGAGAGCAAGTTCACCAAGGTCCTTACTCCTCCATTCAGTAAGTCAGTTCCCAGGACGTGCACTCCTAAGCACAACATGCTGCTGCACATATTGAATGGAGCATTGGGTGTTATACGCAAACAATGAATCATGGAACACTACATCAAAAACTAATGATGTACTGTATGGTGACTAACATAACATAATAAAAAAAGTAAAGATCACTGAACTGTGTAGTTTAAATGGGTGGATTTTATGGTCTGCAAAATATATCTCAATAAAGCCACGAAAACATTTAAATCTAAGTTGATGGGTTTGGCAGCCGATGGAAACAAATTCAATGGAAGAGCACAAGAAAGGCCCCTAAAAGCATGTTAGGCTCACAGGACTCGTCAAAATCTGTTAACACGTTTGTGGACTTCTTTATTTCAACACTGTTTATCTCCATAACATCATCCAATGTCAATATGTCAGCTAAAAATATAATTTCCTTAGGGAATCTTCCTTAACCATTCTAATCCCTCAGACTCCAAACTAAGCAGGACATCCAATGATACATTCTCACAACCTCACACTTTTGTTGTATTGTTACAGTATGTTTAATTGTGTGTCTCCACTCCATGTGAGATTTGTGGGTTTTAAGACCATGTTTACTTTCTTTACCACTGTACCTTCGGAGCTAATGACAGAGCCTGCCACAAAAGAGTCACTCAATATTTGTTGATGAATGAATGAATGAACGAATGAATGAATTTATATAATAGTTCTATATTCCCAAGGACTAATGCATTTTTTACTCTCTTGCTCAGCTGCTGGCTCAATCCAGGAAAGGGATTTATATGGAGCTTCCTTGGGCCAGTCTGCACCATCTTCTCTGTGAGTGATGATATCACAGCATCCCTAATGCTTAGCTGGGGGTCATGAGAAGAGCAGGATTTTAAGGGGGTGTGTGTGACAGGGGCAGGCATGTCCCTGGATTGTCATGTCATTGTTTGGTTTTCTAAGACTGCTCCTCAAACTACAAACTCTAACACTGTTAATTGATATGAAAATGACTTAAATGTGGAGTTGATGTTGGACAGGCTAGGATACAGATCACAGATTGAAATTTCATTCAATAAACCTTTTGTGGTTTCTTGAAGGTCAATTTAGCTTTCGTTCTGATGACCCTCTGGATTTTGAAAAGCAAACTGTCTTCCCTCAGCAGTGATGTATCCACCCTCCAGAACACAAGGTAAGATGGAGAAGAGAGTGACAACTGCACAGACATATGTGGTCCTAAGGACAAAGCCACGTGCCTCAGCAGCCCCTGATGCTTCTTCTTGGGGTCTGCTAAGGGGACCTAGAGCAGAGAGATGCAGCTATCCTTCTATGGCAGCTGGCTCAGATTCAGTGGTGTGCTGATGACACCCTGGCCAAGATGTTCTCTCTATTCATTTTTTTCCCAGAAAGACAGTGAGAGTATGGGGGAGGGAGGAGAGGGCTGGGGGGAGAGAGAGAGAGATTCTTAAGCAGGCTCTATGCTCAGTGTGGAGCCCAACATGGGGCTCTATCCCATGACCCTGAGATCATGACCTGAGCTGAAATCAAGATTCAGATGTTTAACCGACTGAGCCACTGAAGCACCCCTGTTCTATCTATTTCTAACCCCATTTTGTAACTCTGCCGGCAACAGGAAGAACTGGCATTGGTTAGTAAACGTTCTTTGGACTTTTGCCAGCAATCTTATGACAAATGTACAGAGAATATTTATGTTCCCAAGAAGCACTTAGAAAAACCTGTGATTGTTCTCACAACCCAGCCTACATTTCCACACCCCACCTTAGTTCAGGCTCCTTCTGACCCCTCTTCCATTCCTCTCTGTAGAGAAAATGGTAGTCAACGTCAAATCTTCTGGGAGGCTTGGGCAGTCCTTTGTTCCAGCAACCTTTGTGAAAATTTTTGCTTTCTCTTCCATGTTCCTATTATTATCCATTCCAAATGAAAATAGAAATCTCCCTTGGCTAATTGAATTTAAATAAAAAATAAACTAATGATGTACTGTATGGTGACTAACATAACATAATAACATAAAAAAAATAAAGACGGTTTCTCAAAAAAAAAAAAAAGAAAGAAAGAAAGAAAGAAAGAAAATAGAAATCTTGCCATTGTTATTTTTTAAATCCCAGGTCCCAGCACAGAGCCGGATGCAAAATGCCTTCTCAGTAGTGTTGAATGAATAAAATTCAAGATCTCCATGGAGCGTCATAAAATTTTTGAAACGTATATTATGAAGTATCCCTATCCTCCTCAATCCAAATCAAAACACCACCCTGGTCCCTCATGGCATTTTTTCTGTAAGGAATCATTGACAATAAAGATCAAAGCTGATCACAAGTCAGCCTGAGAACTCATCACCAAAAGGGGAAGAAAGGAGAATCCATAGGGTAGAGAGGAGAATGTTTGTCATTGTGTTGCCCTGGGGGCATCATGAGCCACCTTTCTCGTCCAACCCAGGATGCTGACATTTAAGGCCACAGCTCAACTCTTCATTTTGGGCTGCACCTGGTGCCTGGGCATCCTGCAGGTGGGTCCAGCTGCCCATGTCATGGCTTACCTCTTCACCATCATCAACAGCCTGCAGGGCTTCTTCATCTTCTTGGTGTACTGCCTCCTCAGCCAGCAGGTACCACTGCCCAGCTCCCACCCAGTAGTCTTCCTATCCTCACTCCTCTCAGTGAGCTGATCCAGAGTGTATTTGCCTCTGCAGGTCCGGGAGCAATATGGGAAATGGTTCAAAGGGATCAGGAAAACAAGAGCTGAGTCTGAGAAATACACACTGTCCAGCAAGGCCATGTCTGATGCCTCCAAACGCAGCACGGTAAGATCACGCATTGCTCCCAGAGCACTTCACTAAGTGATCTGCTTGAGTACCATATGCTTATCACACTGAACAACTTTAGTGTGCAGTAGATGATGCCCTAGGGTGGCTCACACTTGGTTTGCTTTTTGACTCTTTACCTGTTAGTTTAATGTTAATAATTTAGCTGTTAATTAATTGTTAACTTTTGGCCTCCTCTATGAAGATGGTGCTTCCACCTACTCTTTGGATCCCATCCTTCATACCTTATCAGTTATCTTTAAATTCTTGTTCAGGGGCGCCTGGGTGGCTCAGTCGTTAAGCATCTGCCTTCGGCTCAGGTCATGATCTCAGGATCCTGGGATCGAGCCCCGCATCGGGCTCCCTGCTCCGCAGGAAGCCTGCTTCTCCCTCTTCCACTCCCGCTGCTTGTGTTCCCTCTCTCACTGTGTCTCTGTCAAATAAATAAATAAAATCTTTTAAAAAAATTAATTATTGTTCACACATTCTCCTCTCTTTCCACTTCCCTAAGGCACCATCTCAACAATATTCCTCCCATAGTCATGGAAACATGTTTGGGGTTCTCCTCTATCTTAAAAACATGTACTACTTGCCTCCGTTTTAGCTACCAGCCAAGAGTTGACTTCTCTGTCTCCATTTCCTTGCCTTAAACTTACTCCCTTCTCCCCCAACTCTTGAAAATATGGTTCCCCCATCATGCCACCCAAACAATCATCTCTTAGACCTACAGTGATCTCCCTGTCCCTAAAAGTTTTCTCAGCAACTTCTAACTATTCATCCTTTCTCGTGAAACACTCCATCCTTATTCTGTGTAGATTCTACTCAGACACGCTTCTATTTCTTTCTTCCATTCTCTCTAGCTTTTCTCTCTTTGTTTCCTTCATTGCTTAATCTAATGGATCAGTTCCAGAATAACTTCAGTCCTGGTTAAATCTTTCCTCCTAGACAAAGCATCCATTCTCTAGATAGTTACCACTAGACACAAATGACGGCCATGTACATTTTTCTTGCTCTGATCTCTGAAATCTAGGCGAGTATTTTCAGCTTCTTATTTCTTATGTCTTGAAGACACCTTTAGCTCAGGCTTCCAGTAGAAGACTTGCAGTCTTTACCCCAATTTAATCCTTTCTCATGACATCTTTCTCTCTCTGGATGATACTCCATCATCCTGTGGCACAAATTTGGATCATAAAAGTTACTCTCAACAATGATTTTATTTCCCACCACAAGCTATCCGTTATGCAATCCTTGTTGTTTTTATCTTCTCAGTATGTCCCCAGTATGTCCTGCTGGCTCAATCTTCATCACTCCTCCTTAGCAGGCTGCCATCTTTGCTTGGCTGAGCAACTGCTGTATCCTAATTTACCACCCCTTTCTACTCTTGTCAGCTTCTCTTGCATATTTTACACATAATTCAGAGGGACCTTTTCAAAACACAAATAAAATAATGCACTCCTTTGTTAAACTCACTACATGTAGGATCAAACCCCAAATCCACAAATCAATGAGTATTTGCTTGGGTTGTCTCCTGCTTTCCTCTCCAGCTTCATCTGCCATAAACTCACCATTATTTTGGCCACACCAGATTTCTTTCAATTTTTAAAATTCACTGTGTCTCTTTGGAACAAAGACTTTGCACATCCTCCCTCTACTCGCTCTCCTTGAAACACTCTTTTGTTTTCCTTGACTCAAAACTAGGTGAGCCTTCAGATCTCAGTTCATGTGTCCATTCCTCCAAGAAGCCTTCTCTTCCTGCCTTGATTAGGCCAGATTCTCCTGTTTTTCACTCTGATAGCCCCTGTGCCTTTCCTGCAGAGCAGTTGTCGGAGTCATTTACTCTTGGTTTTCACTGTTCCATTAATGTCTGTCTTCTATCTGGATTTCAGCCCCGACAGTGCTATGTTGGTTTTTCCCTCTAATGTATCCCCAGCATTTCACACAGGGCCAGGCACATAGAAATGCTCAATACATAATTGCTGCATGACTGATTAAATTAAATGAATAAACTGCATTTGCAGAAGGTGTAAGAACTGTCTTGCTCACCAGTCTCTTTCCAACTTTCCAAGTGCTCGATAATTATCTGGGGAGCAAACAAGTGAATGAATAAATGAATGAATGAATTGCCTGACCAGGAGGGTATTAAAACAGTAGAGTAAAGAATTGATGAGTTTATGATATCACTTTCTCTTGGGAATATCAAGATAATTCTCTGCCCCTTTGTTTCATTATTGACCATCATGTCTCCTGAGTAAGACCCAAATATTTCCTTATGATCCATGAGCATCATGTAGCTCGTAGTTCCCAGACTGAAGCAGGTCTGGAATGAAATACCAGCTCTCTCACGTGCTTGCTATGTGAACTGGGTCAAATTGCTAAACATCTTAAATCTTCCATTGCCTCCTTCCTCTTTTCCCTACACTAGACAATTTTCTTAAATTTGCTCATTCTGAACTAATTATTTGCTTCCGTGTGTAGGCTTTCAGGTGGCTCATACATTGGTGGGAGGGGGCTGAACATCTCTCACACACATTGTAGATGTTGATTCAGCTAAGGATGGTGAATGTAACCAAGCAGGAGCTAATCAGCATCCCTCGGTACAGCTGATGCCACCACGCAAGGGAAGGGTCCCACATATCGGAGATGTTCATTCTGGCTGTATCACAGCCCTGTCCCACTTGGGGCTTGCATTATTCAGGAAGAATGTAATAAATAGTTCATACCTTTCTGTTTAGGGAATGCTGACAGTACTTAACCTCTGTGTTCTTTAGTTAGCTCAGCCTCAGCAAGGCCATATTGTCATCCCTTGGAGCTTTTCCCTAGGAGTCCCTGAATAGGATCTGAGCTTCCCTCACTCATTTCCACATATATACTTCAATTGTATTAGTTTCCTTTTGCTGTTGTTACAAGTTTTCACAGACTTATTGCTAAGAACAACACAAATATTAGGGGTGCCTGGGTGGCTCAGTTCGTTAAGTGTCTGACTCTTGATTTCTGCTCAAGTCATGATCTCAGGGTCCTGAGATCCAGCCCCACAGTGGGCTCCAGGCTCAGTGTCAAGTCTGCTTGAGATTCTCTCTCCTCTCCCTCTCCCCACCCCCCTGCACTCTCTCGTTCTCTCTTTCTCTCTTGCTCAATTAAATAAGTAAATCTTTGCTGCTATGAACTTTGGGGTGCATGTACCCCTTCTTTTCACTACATCTGTATCTTTGGGGTATATACCTAGTAGTACAATTGCTGGGTCTTAGGGTAGCTGTATTTTTAACATCTTGAGGACCCTCCATACTCTTTCCCAGAGTTATATGCAACTAGTGAATCACTGAACACTACATCAAAAACTAATGATGTACTATATGCTGGCTAACTGAACATAATAAGAAAGTAAGTAACTCTTTAAAAAATGCACAAACATATATCTTACAGGTCTAGAAGTTCGAGGTTTCCAATGGGTCTTATGGGAGTAAAATCAAGGGGTCAGCAGAGCTGAGTTCCTTCTGGAGACTCTAGGAGAGTTTCTAATTTCTCACCTTTTCCATCACCTAGAGTCTGCCTGCATTCCTTAAATAGTGTCCCCCTGCTCCATTCACCTTTCAAAGCCTGCACTGCAGTATCTTCAAAACTCTCTCACTCTCACTCACTCTCCCCTGCTTTTGTCAGTTGTATCTCTTTTCCTGTCTTCGACTCTCCTTCCTCCCTCTTTCTTTTAAAAAGACCTTAGTCATTACACTGCCTCACTTCCCATCTAAGCTACATAACTTAATTTTAGCTCAAAAGTCCATTTTTCCCCCGTGTGGAGTGACATATTCACAGGATTCAGAGAGGAGAATGTGGGCATCTTTGGGAGAATCATTACTCTGTCTACTGTACATAGTTTTGGTTTGCCTATTGTAGAACCATGAAAATCCGCCTGGTGTTATAGTGTTTGAGTAAATATCAGCCCCCCTCCCCTGAGATGATCTGCACAGTGAAGAAACATACTTTCTGTGAGAAAAATAGCATCAGATAGCTGTGTAAAATGTAAGTCATCTGATCAGCTGTTTCTACTGTCTGTGAGCAAAGGACCAAGCAAATCCATTCCTTAATGTAGTTGTATTTTCTCCTGTCTCTTAAAATTTGGTGCCTCTCATGTTTAAAGATATAGGAATGTCTCCCCCTCATCTTGGCATCTCTTCTGTGGCTTCCTGAAGCCTTGTTCAAGAAAACCACAATATTTGCTCTTGCATTCAGTTCTGAGTAATTTCACAAAGCACCATTTTTATAACCTTCTTGTGTAGAGATAAGCATGTGAAGTTGCCTAACTCAAACACCATAAATCACACTAAGCTTTCTATAGTCCCAGGAACAAATAACTCATATAGGTAATGCAAAGGATAAGGGAGAAAAAGGAGAATTCACTGTTTTTTCCTTTATATCTTAGGTGATTGACAACACATAACATTTCCAACCTTGTGTTAATTTCCCACCTTCCCTCTTTTATTTCTTTACATGTAAACCAGCATTTCACAAACCTTGAAGCAGAGGGATGAGGACACACATCTTGAAAGAGACAGGTTTGTTTGTTTGTTTTTTCCCTGTAGCACATTTCATTGGTCTTATCTTCTGTAACTTGGGGGTTAAGATTTGTAGGGAAATGGGACTTCTGGGACGACCAGGGTCTCACCAAATATAATAGTGTATGGCCTTTTGCTCCTCCTCTGACCTATTTACCTGGCAAGGAAATTTTGTGATTGAAGGATTAATTAAATTTCTTATTTTGTTTCTCATAGGAAAATTTAAAAAATATTTATTTATTAACTTAGGGGGAGAGAGAGAATGAGTGGGAGGGGGAGAGAGGGAGGGAGAGAGAATCTCAAGCAGACTCTGTGCTTAGCATGGAGCCCAACATGGGGCTCGATCTCACAATCCTCATCATAACCTGAGCTCAAACCGGGGGTCAGACCTGTAACTGACTGAGTCACCCAGATGCCCCAAAGGAATCTTTAGAATTATCTTTCTGTAGTCTTTTATAACATTTCTAAATATTATTTTTTCTAGGTTAATTAAAAAATATCTTGAGTTATATCCACTTATCCCATGGAAAATTGGAACGGTTATTCTCTGAGCAAATGAGAGGATAAACAAGACTGTTGTGTGTGTTTCAAGAAATTCACCATGTCAATAATGTGAAAGAAGTCAACTATGTTTGACATCAAGACCTGCATAATCTGGAATTTTCTGTGTCTTTCAGTGTGCCCAGAAAACTTTCCACATATAAAGGGCCAGATGTGGCCCAATTTCTTGGTCATTTTGGGTTACATGCTTTTCTGAAACCTCTCCTTCCTACAAAGACTCTTCCACATGCTGAACATCTATGAGTTGGAAAACCCACCTCATCGGATTTTACTACCAAAAGCATCCATAAGAATGGAAAAGTTCGGGGGTGCCTGGGTGGCTCAGATGGTTAAGCGTCTGCCTTCGGCTCAGGTCATGATCCCAGGGTTCTGGGATCAAGCCCCACATTGGGCTCCTGGCTCAGTGAGAAGCCTGCTTCTCCCTCTCCCTCTGCCTCTCTCCCTGCTCATGCTTCTCTCTCTCTCTCTGTATCTCTGTGTCTCAAATGAATAAATAAAATCTTTAAAAAAAAAAAGAATGGAAAAGTTCGCACCATAGTATGGATTTTGAAATTTCTTGGTTCTGTTTTCTGTGCAGTTAATTATTCATTCATTCAAATATATTGATTTCTCATTAGGTCTAAGGCAGAGACCAAGAGAGACACAGGTTTTGCCTTCATGGAGATTTAAGGGGGCAATAAAGTGATTTTTGCACCTAGAGTTGACTCAGAGGCTGAAAGATTTCTATAAAGTACATTTCTATTGCTGGACAATTGAAGTATAATCCATTTCACAGACACCATCTTGTCTCATCATATGATGATACAGATAGTTTGAAAACTCAGATCATGATATGTCTGTTTTAGTCCTTGTGGACCAGTGTATTAGTCCAGGGTTGTCCAGAGAAATAGAACCAAAAGGACACACACACACACACACACACACACACATACACACACACACACATTTTTATGAAGTGATTTATAATGAGGTATGGACTCACATGATTATGGAGCTAAGTCCCACAATCTGCTGTCTGCTAGCTGGAGACCCAGAAAAACGGTGGTGTAGGTTGAAGGTCTGGGATCCCAAAAGCTGATGGTGTGAATTCCATTCTAGGTCTGAAAGCCTGAGAACTAGGTATGTTGATTGTAGAAGATGGATGTTCCTGTCAAACCATCAGGCTGTGTTAGTTCAATCTTCCTCCACTTTTTTATTTTATTCAGGCTCTCAAGGGACTGGATGATGCCCATCCACACTGGAGAGGGCCTTCTGTGTTACCCAATCCAACTCAAATGCTAATCCTTTCCGTAAACACCCTTACAGTTTCACCCAGAATTTATGTTTAACCAGCTATCTGGCATCCTCTGGCCCAGTCAAGAGGACACACGAAATTGACCATCATGGTTAGAATCTATAGCAACAATTTAAGTCTGCCATTGTAGCATGAAATCCTCTATAAAGAATGATCATGACTGTGTTTTAATAAAACTTTATTTTTGGACACTTAATTTGAATTTCATGTGATGTTCACATGACACAAAATATCATTCTTCTTTTGATATTTTTCACCTGTTTAAAAATGTAAAGACTATTCTTACCTTGTGGTCTGTACAAAACCAGGTGGTGAGCCAGATTTGGCCCATGGGCTGTAGTTTGCTGACCTGTATCCTAGGATGTTCTGGGAAGCTCTTCATCCACACCAATTTATTCAGGCACTTTTCAAATATTTGATAAGCATTACTCTTTAAGTCATGATGCTACGTTGATAGAAATGGACATGAACAAGGTAGACTTGATTCCCATGTCAGGGAATCCCGAAGACCTGTGTATTAGCTTAGATTCCCATAACAAAATATCATAGACTGGGGGGTTGTTTCAGCTCATAGATGTTCAGCATGTGGAAGAGTCTGATGAGGTGGGTTTTCCAGCTCATAGATGTTCAGCATGTGGAAGAGTCTTTGTAGGAAGGAGAGGTTTCAGAAAAGGATGCAACCCAAAGGATGTAACTCTTCCTGGCTACCTTCTCACTGCGTGCTCCCATGGCCTTTTCTCCCTTCTCAAGTATAAAGTGAAAAAAAGGAAAACCCTCAGGTGTCTCTTCTTTTTTCTTTTCAAAGATCTTATTATTTATTTATTTATTTATTATTTATTTATTTGTGTGTGTGTGTATGTGTGTGTGTGTGTGAGAGAGAGAGACAGAATAAAAGCAGGGGGAGCAGCAGGCAGAGGGAGAAGTAGGTTCCCCACTGAGCAAGGAGCCTGAAGTGGGATTGGATCCCTGACCCTGGGATCATGACCTGAGCTGAAGACAGATGCTCAACCCACTGAACTACCCAGTTGCCCCTCAGATGTTTCTTCTTACAAGGTCTCTAATCCCAACATAAGGGCCCCACACTGATCTCATTCTAATTATCTCCCACAAACCCCACCACCAAATACCACACATGGGGTGGGGAGGGGCTAGGGATTCAACATGTGAATTGGGTAGAGGGTCACAAACATTTAGTCCACAACAATCTGTAAGGTGGGAAACCAGAAGAAAGGGAAGATACAGTATAGTAGTTACTGTGGTGTATGGGACCTTGTGCCTGTGGGGACATGGTAGACGTGGAACAAACCCTGGCTAGGGAAGGCAGGTAGTAAGGAGCACTTAGGTCAACTGATGGCTGTATCCCTAGGTTATGGTTTGGGAGGCTGATCTCAGCATTTGTCCCCATATCTTTACTTTTTTTTTTTTTTTAACAGTTTCATAGGTAGAATTTAATGATTAACCAGTTGCATATAATACCCAGTGCTCATTACATCAATTGCCCTCCTTAATGCCCAAAACCCAATTACCACATCCCCTCACTCACCTCCCCTCCAGCAACCCTCCCAGTTGGTTTCCTAGAGTTCAGTGTGTCATGTGGTTTGCCTCCCGCTCAATTTTCATCTTATTTTGTTTCCTTCCCTTCCCCTATATTCATCTGTTTTGTTTCTTAAATTCCATGTATGAGTGAAATCATATGGTATTTGTCTTTCTCTGACTGAATCATTTTACTTAACATAATACCCTTCAGTTCCCATCCACCCTGTTGCAAATAGCAAGACTTAATTCTTTTTGATGGCTGAGTAATATTAAACTGTATAAATATATACCACTGCTTCTTTTTTTTTTTATTATGTTATGTTAGTCACCATACAGTACATCATTAGCTTTTGGTGTAGTGTTCCATGATTCATGGTTTGTGTATAACACACAGTGCTCCATGCAATATGTGCTCTCCTTAATACCCCAGCCTGTTGCTGTTATCCAGATTCATATTTCCCCGTGGGAAGATCTTCAGCAATCCCATGATGGGTTGTAAAGGTCCAGAGGCTTGAGGGTGGTGGAGGGGCACATCCAAGATTATGGGGCATCTGGAGTCCTCAGTCCTGGGAGCGGCACAGAAGTTCTTTGTGGAAGGCATACAGGCCAGCGGAAGAGTGGTGGGGATAGGGGAGTGCTGGCATGTGGCCAGGGGGATGCAGAGTGAAGAGTTCTGGTTTATAACTAGAGGACACCAGTGTTTTCTCTTTCCCTTCATCCATTCCTCTCTGTTTCTATCCTTCCCTCCCTCCCTCCTTCCCTCTCTCTCCCACTCTTTCTCCATACACAGAGGAAAGATCATATGAGGACACAGGGTGCAGACAGCCATCTACAAGTCAGGAGGGAGCTCTCACCAGAAACCAACCCTGCCGGCATGTTGACCTTGGAATCCAGCCTCCAGGAAAAATTTGAGAAAAAAATTTCTGTGGTTTATGACACCTCTTTAATACTATATTATTATGGCAGTGCTCAATTCTACAACACATGGACATGGGGAAAAGAAAGAAAACATAAAAATGCAAAGAAAATCACCATAATTCCATCAGAGAGTAGTGGAACATTTTGGGTATGTTTTTCTCATCTTTTAAAACATATCAGGAATATTTTACTTTATCAATAAATGTGTATCTCAGACTGTGTTGAGTATTGCTGAAGAATAAAAACACCTTGGTTCTAGACATGCCAGGGTTTAGGATTGTTGGGGTTGCATGAGGGAGAGCTTTGCGGTGATGGGATACTTATCTAATTTATGGCAGTGACAGTTACAGGAATCCACACATGTGATGAAATGTCACAAAACTGTACACTCCCATTGTGCTATGTCAGTTTCCTGGTTTAGATATTTGACTACTGTTACATAAGAACCTAAATACATAAAATATATCTTTTGCAGGAAGCCAGGGGAAGGACCTCTAGGTATTGTTTTTTTTTTTTTAAATATGTTAATCACCATACATTACATCATTAGTTTTTGATGTAGTGTTTCA